ACTCAATAATATATATATTGATATCTAATGCATAAGTACATAAATACATAAAATACATAAAAATAAAAATGATTATCATTAAAGTTCACGCTCGTCAAATTTTTGATTCTCGCGGTAATCCTACCGTCGAAGTTGATGTTATAACAGATAAAGTATTAATTAATTAAACTATTAACTATTCATTTTCTTATCTCGTGTCATTTTATTTAATAACATTATTTTAAAATTTTAAAAATTCAGGCATTTTTAGAGCTGCCGCACTATCTGGTGTTTCCACTAGAATTCATGAGGTTTTGGAATTATGTGACAGAATAGAACAAGACTATGTTGGTAAAGGTAAAAAAAAAAGATAATTTGCAATATTTTCTGTTCATCCATTTTGTATAATTTTAATGTATGCACATTTTTTAGATTTATTGCGAGCTGTTCTAATGTAAATGATTGTATTGCTTCTGAACTTATAAAGGCCGAGTTGGATGTCAAGGATCAAAAAACAGTTGATGAATTTCTCTTGAAATTGGATAACATTCCAAATAAATCAAACCTTGATGCAAATGCGATTCCTAGTATATCTTTTGGAGTCGCTAAAGCTGGTGCTGCTAAAAAGGTAAAATTCTTATAAGATATTATGTATGATCGTCATTAATTTATTTACAAGGTAATGTTACAATAATGTTTTGTATAGGGGCATTCCACTTTACACACACATAGCCGATCTCACTGGAAGTAAAAAACCTTATGTTCTTTCTATATCCATTTTCAATGTGATCAATGGCAGTTCTCATGCTGGTAACAAACTCGCTATGCAAAATTTATGATCCTACCAACTGGTGCCTGTTTTTTTTACTGAAGCATGAAAATTGGTTCTGAGGTTTATCATTCTTTGAAATCTGTTATCAAATCAAAATATGGTCAAGACACTACTAATGTTAGTGATGAAGGTGACTTCGCTCCAAACATACAAGACAACAAAGAATGTCTTAAACTACTTAAAGATGCTATTAAAAAGCTGGTTCTAACTATAAAAATAGAAGGTGAATATTAAATTATTATGTTAAACATTCATTTTTCTTTATTTTTGTGTACTAAAGATAGCTAATATACGTACGTACGTATATACGTAAACTTATTTTTCAGGTAAAACTTACTGGTTAAACCATTTTAAATATTGCTTTATGAAATATCATCCTTGTTTTTTCCAACTTACTAATAATATCTTTATCTTTTCCCCAAGTAAAGATCCTGAATTTTTGTCAGTTAAAATGTTT